GCAGCAGCCTCCTGTCATCTGGCAGGCAGATCGGGGCCTGCCTGCACCCCTAGGAGGGCTGCGGGGACTGTGCCGGACTCCTCCTGGGGGTGCGGGCCCCTGATCTACCTGCTGGATCCCAGGAGGCTGGTTCTGCTGCCTGGGGCCAGTGGCAGCACCAATCTTCCCAGCTCTGGGTGTGGGTTTTGCCCAGTGCCGGTCCAAGGCAGCAGCAGCAGCCTCCTGTCATCCACTAGGCAGATCAGGAGCCCGCACCCCTGGGAGGAGTCTGGCACAGCCCTGCAGCCCTCCTGGGGTTGCAGGCGGGCCCTCGATCTGCCTGCTGGATGACCTGCTGGCTGGGACCGGTGCTGGGTGCAGCCTGTGCCAAGCACCGGGAAGATTGGTGCTGCCTCTTGCTACAGCCGGCAGCAACAGCATACTGTCATCCGGCGCACAGATCCTGGGAGCTGAACCAGAATTCTTCCAGGGGACACGGCCCCTGGATCTGCACCGGATGACAGGAGTCTGTTGCTGCTAGCTGGGACCAGTGCTGAAGCCAAGTAAGCCCGGTTTCAAAACTCGAAATGTTTTGAGTGCCCTTGTTTCGTTTTGAAGCTGCTTCAAAGGCTTTTCTTTTGTTTCAGTTTCACTGTTTCGAGCTCGAAATGCATCGAAACATCTTCAAAACAAAACACCCAGTAAAATTTTGCACAGCCCAACATAGCACTACATAAAACTAATAAAATAAGACATGGGGGTGATACAGCAGAGTATAAATCTGAGACTTTTGTGCAGGACTTTTGTGCACAGACAGATCAGCTGTGTGGTGGAGGTGGGCCAGACGTGCACATTTCTACTGGGATCTTTTAGAGGATCTTTAGTGCATCCTGCAGCAATGGCAGCACCTGCATTACAGAGGGTGGAGTGTGCACTCTCAGAAGTCAGCCAGCTGGCTGAGGGAGCATGAGAGCTGGTCCAAGCATACCTTTCCCCTCCCCAGCTTGTTTGGGTAGCTTAGTTAACAACTGGCCTTAGTACTAAAGAAATTCTGAAGTCTGTGCTTGTTCTAGACAGCCCAATGGGATTAGAGGCTTCCTGTGTCCGTTTTTCTTGTTCTTCTATACATAACTGTCATATCGAGTGTAAGTTTCAGTCCAACAGATGATGAGTACCATCACAACAGGTTATGGGTGGCCAGGTCTGGGGCACTGAATGAATTTAGGAAGTCCTTCTGTTATGATACTGCATTTGTAAGGTTAGCAAGAGGTTTATGAGTGTTATTGGTGTGGGGAGCACATGCTGTAATGGCTGGGCTGCTTTCTATTATCTCACGAATTAAATAATCTACTTGAAATATTCCATGATGCTAGCTCATTGTGCTAATGGTGTATTTGTAACTACTGTTTTGTCACCTTTCCTTGCTTTTTGCAAGGAATACAAGATGTATGTGGGCTATTCAGGCACATATTTTGCATAAGTAAACGTGAAAGAGGATTGTATCTCAGATACAAGAAATGTTAATTGATTTGTTTAAATTCTCTCAAAGATCCTGCAGTTCATTAGCATAAACTGTTGCCACCAACTTTGGTAGGTGTTTTTTATAGACTGGAATCAGAAACTTACAGGGAAGCGACAGACTGAAATGATATATCGTAATAAATGCACAATTTGTGAACTGGTGAGTTTTCCCTGCTTTGTAATCTTGATCTGCATTCAGATGTTTTGTTTCAAACAGGAGAGGGCACTCACACCTCACTCTTATAGTGAATATCAAATTTGAAAAATGAAACACACTTACAATAGCAGCTACTCCTCTGTATATAATACTGGCATAGTTAGCCATACACTTATAGGCTGCCTAGGGATTTTGTTTTAAGAATGGCTTCAAATATTGGGAAATAGGTATAAAGACTGAAAAAGTTGCATTGGCTACTTAACTTCCTTTTTTATATTTAAGGATAGATCTCTTCACCAACTGAACTGTCAAATAATTTTTCTTGTTTTTGAAATTTAATTTTGGTTTGATCTACACAAAATAATGTGTGAGAAAGAAATAGGAATTATTCTGTTAGCATAACCACAATTCTGCATGTTGTCTGCTGACCTGCTGACTCTTGTTTAAAGGCAAATTAAACAGTCTCCAAGTTGACTGATACTTCTCTGAGCCAGCGGAGAGGTGTTTGGCAATGTCTATGGTCATTTTATTGTCTTTTTAAGTGTGTGAAAATGTGTGTGACATGTCTCTCCATTTGTGTAGCTGCCTGTGGTATATTTTCTTTAAACAGTTCCATTGTGGCTAAGAAACTTTCCCACAATTTCAGGTGGCTGTATAGCAAATGTCTGGTGTCTTCAACCTGCGATCATTCTGTTCCAAATGCAACTGCTCTCTTGATGTCCTGTGGGATGATTTCAGCAAGTACATCCATGCTGTTCCTATTTGTTGGTTTTAGACATCCTGCAATGCAATGGGAGCTGTCATTCAGTGTAGGATGCAGCTTCTTTGCATGAACTGGTCTTCCCCACACTGGAGATACATGTTGTTCTGCTAGGTAGGCTCAGGAAGGTCCTACAAATGCAGTGAATCTTAGTGTTGTTAGGTTGTCTCCTTGCTTGGAGTTTGCAAGCTTCCTAAGTATGTGGTGCTGAGCTTTTTGCTATTTTCCTTCTCCCTACATGCCTTGGTTATGTTATAAAATGTTGGGATGATGATTTATCCTAATTAAAACTAAAATACTAGTAAATTTTTAGTTAGGGTGAAATATATTGCTTTTCCCCTCTGAGAGACAGTTATCAGACGTTATTTAAAGATTTCCATGGAAATAATCAAGAGGGCAAATTTCAACCTTGCTTGCTGACTGGCAAAGTGGTTGAAGACTCCATGCTCTCTTTGTTCTTCTGCCACTGGATCTGTATAAGTAGGATATGCATTCATGCTTCCTTCAACAACTCCTTCCATGTTAATCTATCTGTGGCTTTATCGAGGGCCCTTTGTGGAGTGTAGCTGCTAAACAGCCAGTGCCGCAGCAAGCGGGGAAGGAGAGAGGAGTGACCGCCCCAGGTGCTGAAGCGAAGGGGCGCCAACAGGATCTGCCTGTCCTAGGGTGGGGCACAGGACAGAGATGTGAGTGGCTTGTTTTGGGGGGGGG